TAGGCGGGTTGGGCTTGGGGAGCGAGCTCTTGAGCCGAGTTTTAATGGGCTTTTTCGAAGGGGCTATTGGGCCGAGCTTCGGACCAGATAATGAGTTTGGGGGCAAATCCAAGCCCTCTTTTTAAGAATAATGGACTTGACTTCGGACAGGTCAACTATCGGGCTTATAGAGTTTCAGGCCTATTTTTTAAGCCGGGTTATAGGACCCTTGAATAATCTGGCCCATGAACACCCCTATCTGTAACTTTGACAACTTGCTACTAGTGATTGAGTTTATTTTTTCGGTAAGTCTCAATCTTATACAATTCAAATTACTATTAACTTAATTGTTTATATATGGAAATATATTTTCGATAACATTTAAGATTATCATACAATCCTTGCAAAATATGAAAAATTCTCGGGGTCTCCTGTGCATGATTGTAATTAACCTCTTTTTTTGCAAAAGATTGTAATTAGCCTCTTTTTTTTATGAGTATTGATTCCATAGACTATGTATATTGGTGTTTGATCTTTTTGTGTTTAATGAGTCTTTAAATATGAAATTTGATTAGAGAAAAAATTACATTTTGTAGGTTAAGTATGCTCACCCTAAAACAATTTTTTAGCTCCGCCCTGGTGTTTGGTATGTGTGTTGTGTTTATTTTATGCGTTGTGTGTGGGTGCCTGTGCAATCTCTCCATCCACAAACATATAAAAAGATGTAAGATTTAAAGAAGGAATATAAGTGACCCATCAAGAACGTAGATAAAACTTATTGCATGAAGATGATTCAACGTGGGAAAATGTATTGGTTGAAATATCATGTTATTTTTAATTAATTTATTGTAAGATTGGTTAGGGAATGCGTTAATTCATATACTTGTATTTGATTACCCATCTATCTTTCTTTCTTTTTTTGGTTTCTTGTTAATATAATGTCGTTGTAATCGTTAGATTTATTTCACTGAAATCTAATTACATTAAAATTGTATATGCAGAGTGCTGAAATGAAAGTTCAAATGAAAAGGGGTGTTCGTATTTGAAGTTTCTAAAATTTTAATTTTTTTATTTGTTCAGTCGATTTTTTATACCGGAGAATAAAAATTTTAGGAGTAATTTGGACATTTGAATACAAAATAGATTTAAAATCAAACAAAGTTTCCGGATGAACCTTTTACACTATAAAGTGCCCCCAAATTTTCAATATAACTTGGGTTGGGTTAAGTACACTCTGACTCTTCCCTACTACAGGAGGAGATCCATCATTCTTGGACTGCTCTTTATATGATGCAAGCCCATTTCTGTGTTTTCGGCCCTATTCTGCATTTTGGTCTGAGTCCTTCCCTGTGACGGAAATCGAGAAGGAGACATTGGACTTCAAGGATACAAGGCGAAGTGCAAGAGAAAATAAAATGTGGAAGAGTAAGAGGTATAGGTTTAAAACTCGGCTCGAATATTAATCCTATAAAATGGGTTAATGGGTCATTGATACGACTGTTGGGTCACTAATTAGAACGATTATATAATAAAAAAATAAAAATAGTTAATAATACAAGAAAATCTATAGAATAAAGTATAATACAATTCAAATCTCAAAATAAAATAATTTTTACTATTCGCGATTGAGATATTTTTAAATTTTACTTTAAAATAAATCCGACAGCTAATATTAATATTCCAAATTTAATAAAAAAATAGACTCTTAACGGTGTGTTTGGTGACACTTTTTAATATTACTTTTAATATTTATAATTTCTCATAAGTATTTTTTAAAAAAAAGTAGTGTTTAAAATCGTCCCCCCAACACATTTACCACCACCGCCATCCACCCCCACCTTTGCCACAACAACAATCACCATCACCACCGTCGTTGCCACCACCACACCCATTGTCCTAAAACCACCACCATCATTCCTACCACACCACCCTCACCATCATCACCATTATCCCATCACCACTATCACTACTACTACACTACCCCCCCCACCACCACAAGCACCATCGTCGTTGCCACCCCACCCCACCATTACCATCGTCGACGCCACCACTACCGTCACTACCCCACCTCCACCTTCACCACCCCTACCCCAACCCCTCCACCACCACCATCATCACTACCCATTACCAATTGCTATCACCATCGTCTACCCCCACCACCATCATCATCTCATTCATATATTTTTTTACCATTACCATCGACGCACATCGTCAGCACCCACCACCACCATTGTTGCCCACCACCACCCACTACCACAACCCACCACCATCCGTCGTCACCCCATCCACCATCACCAACAACCACTATAACCCACCTCCACCACTACCCTGTCAATGTCCACCACTGTCGCCACCCACCCCCACTACACCTACAACTACCACCACCCATCACACTGTTGCTCAAAAATACCCGTCGTTGTCTACCACCACCATTGTCACTACCCACCACTGTCATCACCACCGTTATTCCCCCACCACTACTACCGTTGTCACCTCACCATCACCCACACTGATCACCATAACTACTGCCACTACTACCATCGTCACCTAAAACTCAACACCACCATCATCGTTATGACCCACGGTTACTACCACCACCACGGTTGTCCCCACCCACTACAATCATCACCATTTTCCACTACAACCATTGTCGTCCACCACCACTATTACTGCTCACCCCCACTACAACTAATGTTTAAATTTGTTTCTCTCTCTTTTTTTATTATTTAATTTTATGTGTAAATACAAATATATTTATTATTGACCATTTTTTCATTACTTTGTGCAATCTAATTCTCTCCAATATCCCCCTTCTTGTGTGTATTTACTAAATTAAAAAAAATTTAGCTTGGAAATAAAAACAAATTGATAGTCTTAAACTTGATATTAACCGGACCGAACTGATTCAGACTCCACTTTACCAAGTCAACCCAATGGGCCGGGCCAAATTTTAAAACACTAATTAGAAGTGATAATGTCAAATTTGAATTTAAATTTTAAATTTTTTGAGAAAAAAATCTTACTAGTAGATTTTCATTGATCATGAATCAAGGAGTAACTATTTAGAAAAGTGATGTAACGTTGAAGAGTGTTTTCAATTTCATAAGAAGGGCATTGTGGATTTACTAAAAAAATTGGGCTTAATTACTTATTAAAAAAATAATAGTAGGTCTTAACGCCAAATATAATTAAGTGATGAACTTAACTCATTATAAATTCCATAAAAAAGACTTAAGACGAATTATCACCATATATTAAGGGTATTACGGACTTTTTAAACCAATATGCGTGGTTTTAAGTTTTTTTTTAATATATTTTTCAATTTTCACCATTAGGCGCCATCGATCCTCCAACTTTCAATAACTAAAAAGAAAGTGATCCATAAATTGCACATGTTAATGGAGAGGAGTTGTCTATGGTACCTAAAAAAAATTGATATTATACCTCTATTTATTATATTTGTGGATATTTTTTATCACTATTATGAGTATTTTTACAACTATTGTGGTATCAAAAAAAGTAATAAAAATAATTGTTACAACAGTTGTAAAAAAACTCATAACAATGGTAATTAAAACACTTACAAATGTGATAATTCACCCACAAAAGTGAAAAAAAAATTTATATTGAAAAAATATAATAAAAATAATTATCACAACAGTAATAAAAATATCCAGAAAAGTGGCAAGTCACACATAAAAATATTAAATATTTTTTGTTGTAAAATAACCAACAAAAATTATAAAAATACCCATTTAAAATAATAAATTTTAAAAGTAAGATATCAAATTTTTTTTATTTGTACTGTAGTCAAGTCCTAATGAAGAATTTGTCAAAGTTGTCATAAAGTTGAAGTCAGTACTATATACTAATCCTTGTCATTCACGTCGGTACATGCAATAAAGTCTTTGTTAATAATTAATAAAACTTGGGGACAATGAAATATGTAGGAAGCACAGAGGAAACGAGTGCGAAGAAACCAAGTAGCGCAGACTCCAATTAAATATTAATGTTACTGTACATTCTGCAAGATACATAGTTTGATATAACTTTGAAAAAGAAAGCTCGAAGAAATGTCCGCTCTAAAAAGATTAAAACTTATTAAAATGTCCGCTCTAAAAAGATTTTTTTTGCTCCGCCCCTGCTTTTCATGTAAGTTTGTTAATCGAGATGAGTTATTCGAGCTCGATTTATTTTGTAAACGAGTTGAATTTGAATAATTTTTTAAATTCATTTAGTAAAATAAATTTTAAAAACTTAATCCGTTTATATATAAAATAATCAAACTATTCAAATTCAGCTATGATTCAACCAATACTCGAGTGGTGTACAAGTAGAGTTTAATAATATTTTAAGTTTATTTTAAAAAATGAGCTCGATGACGAACTCAAAGGACAATTCAATTAACACCCTATCTCCATGTATAATGAATGACTGGTTCAGCTTCCCTGTTACGCAATGGAGAAATGAAAACCCCCAAACTAATTTCAATATTCAACCTCCAAACAACTAATCAATCACGATGAGAATACTATTCAAGTCAGTAGTGTTTGTCCTTATTTAGCCTAATTTTCTCTCTCCTCGATTTGTTTTGGTCAAACTAACACACACCACATGATCATTTTAAGAAATCTAGAATGCGCAAGCAAACAACGCCCCCCACCCAAAAAAAAGGACTTTCCACGAGTGTTTGATTTGGTAAAAAGTTGCGACTTGCAGGCAATCTCATTATAAAAGACCAATAACCGGCAGAGATAACCTTTGCTCCATCGTGCACCTTCTTATTTTGATGTCTGTTAACTACCATATCCATTAACCGAGACTATCTTGCTAACCGCGAAGCTCTTTTTCTTTGCTTTCTTTTTCGAGTTTTGATCAGAGAAAAACTCGCAGAGGTTTTTCAAAAATTTCAGAATAACTTGAAGTAGAAGAGCTTGCTTGGCGCAACTGANTTTTTCAGAATAACTTGAAGTAGAAGAGGTTGCTTGGCGCAACTGAACTGGGGAAAAAAAGAGCCTAATATGCAGAACCTTAGACACCTTGTCCTTGCTTTGGTTCTCTCTCTCTATGTGAGCCGCTACCTTGGACTGTCAAATGGTCAAAATGCTACTGCAGTGAAGGTTGATGTTGGGTTTATTCTTGATTTGAGCACAACAGCCGGAAAGGTTAGCCGGACATGCATTTCGATGGCACTTACAGACTTCTATACCAATCACAACTACACCAGGAGGATGATCGTCCACCACATCAGGGATACCAAGAGTGATATTGTTGATGCAGCATCCATAGGTACGTCAAAGCCTACCCTTTTTGCATTTAACATACCATGATATATATATATATATATATATATATATATATATATATAGTCCAATTACATTGATATTTTATAATTGGGTCAGCAATATCTTGTTGTTGAAGTTTGTATTATATCTGTCCTTAATTGAAAGAACACATCATCACTATCATTTTCATACTGTTGCCATAAAACAAAAACAAACAAAAGATAGGAAAGGTCATAATTCTTGAACGATTATCGGTAGTAAAAGATACTGATAAAATATCACTCTTCTTCCAAAATCTTTCAAATCCGAAAAGGTTATAATTCTGGAACGATTTAATGGGATTTCTTGTACTACATTAGTTAGAACTTGACTATGCAGAGAAATTGGATTATGGCAATCTAAGGCTTTGTCAAACTTCTGTGCAGCAATAGACCTTTTGAAAAATGTCCAAGTACATGCAATATTTGGACCGCAACCATCGACCCAAGCAGATTTTGTCATAGATATTGCGAACAAATCAGAGGTTCCTATAGTTTCTACAGCAACAAGTCCTGCTCTCTCACCCAAGAAAAGTCCCTACTTCATCCGAACAGCACAGTGTTCATCCTTTCAGGTTAAAGCAATTGCAGCCATTGTTAAAGCCTTCAATTGGAGGGAGGTAGTGTTAGTCTATGAAGACAGCACCTTTGGAAGTGGGACAATTCCTTATCTAACTGATGCCCTTATAGAGGTCAATGCCCGGGTTCCTTATCGCAGCGTTGTATCTCCTTCTGCTTCGGATGATCAAATCCTTCAAGAACTCTACAAGTTAATGACCATGCAGACTAGGGTGTTTGTGGTGCATATGTTACCCTCTATTGCCTCGCGCTTTTTTCTAAAGGCGAAAGAAGTTGGAATGATTAGCAAGGGATATGCCTGGATCATCACAGATGTTCTTGCAAGCCTATTAGATTCTACAGATTCTACGTTTATCAACTCTATGCAAGGAGTTCTAGGGGTCAAGCCTTATATTCCAAGATCCAAGGAACTCAACAACTTCACTCGGAGATGGAAGAGGAGATTTCGCCAAGAGAACCCAGACATGGATGAAATTGAGCTAGATGTGTACGGGATATGGGCGTATGACAGTGTTACGGCATTAGCAATGGCAATAGAGAGAACCAGTAGTGCTCCCCTACGATTCAAGCAACAACCAGCCACTAGAGAGAATACGACAGACTTAGCAGCTATTGGAACCTCAGAATGGGGACCAAAACTAGTAGAGTCTATCAGGAATATCAGATTCAAAGGATTAAGTGGTGATTTCCATATTGTTGATGGACAATTACAGCCATCGGCCTACGAAATAGTGAATGTAATGGGAAATTATGGGGGGAGGAGGATTGGGTTTTGGACTGAAAAACATGGCATTTCTGATCAAGCTAAGACAAATGGTAGGGTTGTGTACACAGCTAATGCCGATGATCTCAAAGCAATCATATGGCCAGGTGAAATTAGTGTAGTCCCAAAAGGTTGGGAAATGCCCACAAGTGGAAAGAAGTTAAAGGTTGGGGTTCCTATTAAAAGTGGGTTTGGTGAATTCATAACAGTGGACAACGATCCAAAAACAAATGCTACTAATCCGTCTGGTTTTTGCGTAGATGTGTTCAATGAAGTCATGGGCTCATTGTCATATGCTGTCCCATACGAGTTTGTTCCTTTTTATTCTCCTGGTAGGGAATATAATGAGCTTGTTTACCAGATCTTTCTTGAGGTAATTAATCTTTTGTTTATACCAATGTGCTGATTGTTCTGACTCCAATTGTTCTGTTACTAAATCAATTTTTGCTTTTGTTTCGTGCCCAGAAATTTGATGCTGTAGTTGGTGATGTAACCATCGTAGCAAACCGCTCCAAGTACGTTGATTTCACATTACCATTCACAGAGTCTGGTGTCGCAATGATCGTTCCAATCAAGTATGATGAGAGGAAGAATGCATGGATTTTCATGAAACCTCTAACAGCTGACCTCTGGTTAACAACCGGGGCATTTTTTGTGTTCATTGGCGCTGTGGTTTGGGTTCTTGAGCATCGCGTAAACAAAGAATTCCGAGGCCCACCTAGCAAACAAGTTGGAATGATATTGTGGTTCTCCTTCTCAACGCTTGTTTTCGCCCACAGTGAGTACTTCCTTATATAGGCAACAGAAGTATAATTAAAGATACCTTTTTTTCTGTTCTTGTTTTGCATTTCTCAGAATATTCTGAAATGATATCTCGCACTCGCAGAAGAGAAGTTAGTAAGCAACTTATCAAGATTTGTGGTGATCGTTTGGGTGTTCGTGGTGCTGGTGCTGACATCGAGTTACACCGCCAGTTTGACGTCGATGTTAACAGTCCAAAAGCTTCAACCGACGATCACTGATATCAACGATCTGATTCGGAATGGGGAGTATGTTGGGTACCAGATTGGTTCCTTTGTTGAGGAACTTTTGGTGAAAAAGAAGTTGGACAAGTCCAAGTTCAGAGCGTACAGCACACTTGAAGAGTACGATGAAGCCCTCACCAAAGGCAGTAGAAATGGAGGCGTTGCTGCAATTGTTGATGAGCTCCCTTATATCAGGCTCTTCCTTGCAAAATATTGTAGAAAGTATACCATTGTTGGTCCCACCTACAAGACTGCAGGCTTTGGATTTGTAAGCCCCCCCCCCCCTCTCTCTCTCTCTCTCTCCCTCTGTCTCATTGATATAAGAGAGGTGCACAGACCAATCAATCATATATGCCGTATTCTTGAATTTGAAATGAAAAGAGAAGTAATGCTTCTTATCACCGGACACAGAATAAGACCACTTAGATCAAAATAATATTCATAGAAATGTTCTAACATAAAGTAGAATTGAATGTTAAAGAGATTAGCCAACAACAGTCAAAAGATGGACACCTAATTCCAATACAATAAGGGTCTGTACAAGTCACATGAACACCTTGATTTGTGAAGATTTATACCTGTACTTAATAGGTGCAAGTTAACCCAATAATATAATATGTTTCCTCCTTGTCTTTGATATAGGCATTTCCAATGGGTTCTCCCCTCGTACCTGAGGTTTCAAGAGCAATCTTGAACGTGACAGAGGGAGATAAAATGACAAGATTTACGCAAAAATGGTTAGGGGATGAGGCTGACTGTCCGGAGCAAGATGGAGCAGTTGTCACCACGGATAGCCTGAAACTACAAAGTTTTACGGGCCTTTTCCTCGTCGCCGGGATATCATCATCTTTAGCTCTCATTATTTTCTTATTGATATTTCTACACGAGAACAGGGACGTATTAGCTTCCCATGATTCTGTCTGGCAAAAGCTCGTTGCAATGGCGAAAATTTTTGGTGAGGAAAAAGAGAACTCTCGTAATGTTTCCAAAAAGATGACCACTGAACCAAATGATCACGACCTGGCCACAACAGCTAATTCTGTTCCAGAAGATATTATAGCTGCTGGCTCTCCACAAAGTCCAGCCATCAGCATTTCCCACCACGGGGACGGGGACGACATTTTCTCTCAGGACGAAGGGTTCTCTACAACAGAACCGGGAACTCCGATCCATGACTCCATAGCCATTACAGAAACTATTAGAGAAAGATGATGATCACTCTTTCAAAACATGTTCATTTCCGTTCATTTTTTATTTTTTTTAATTTACAGGAAGAAATTCAAGCTCACTTCAATACAGGTATTTATGCTTTGCTAAGTTCGCTTTTGTAACAATCACACAAATGAAAATATATTCATTACAACGGTAATACTACGTTAAGGTGGGTGTAACAACATCCTCTTTCTTAGCAAAACATAACCTGGCTTCATGACATACCCTCAGGGATCTGGGAAGGACAAGCATATGACTCAACCCTTGTTGTGGGGCAAACAAATGGCCATTATATGATAGATTTGGATCTCGACATTCCAAATTTCTTCAACTTTGTCACCTAGAAAATGGTTTTGACCATTGATTTAACAAAATAGAACTTTCTATTTTTGATCCACTTTAACTTTATACTCAACATTAGTCTAATCATTGAATACCATAATGGGTGATTAGATCATGGAAAACTACAGAGATTAGAAATTTTGAAATTGACACGACCCAAGGATATCTCCATGAATCTAGAAGCGTTTATTTTGAAGAAAAGAAATTAAAGAAATCATCGAATCATTGATTTATTAGGATATGATGGCAGGATATAAGGGATTTATCACTATCTACATGGTTGGGATTATAATATGATGATAGGATTTAAGAAATTTATCGCTATCTATAGAATAAGTGTAGCTGATGATAAACTTGTGATATTTTATCTTTATTATATAATTCTTACCCTATAAATAGGATTGACCTTCATGTAATCAAGTACTACTGAATAAACATTGAAGTAGTCTTTGGGGTGTTCTTATTGTCATTATTTCCTTGGCATTGAGGTCCTAGCCAAGCGAAGTATGCACATGACAAGATGCATAATTGCAAGTCTATATCTACTCATGTGGTTGACAAGGATCGAAAAATTGCTTTTGATGATGATCCTTTTCCAAACCCAACAAAATATAGGAGTATCGTTGAGCCCTTCAATTACAAACATTTACAAAACTAGACATTTCATATAGTGACGATTTTGTGCATCAATTTATGCATGCTCCTACTATGGGTCACTACCGGATTGAGAAGCGCATACTTCGCTATATCAGTGGTACGGTGGATCTCAGCAATGACAATCTCTTGCCATAGTTCCTTTGAACTTTATGCCTTTGCCAATGCAAATTGGGGTGGTTGCCCAATCACACACCACTCAACAACTAGTTTTTGTACCTTCCTTGGTGGTAAATGCATTTTATGGCGTTCAAAGAAGCAAAGTTCAGTCGCTCTAAATATCGTGCTCTTTCTTCCATCACATCTGAGTTAACATGGCTTTCATTTACCTTACATGACATAGGAGTTCCGTTGTACAAGCTTCCTATTCTTTTTTGTGATTATTTGAGCGCAGTCTACTTGATTCACAACTCTGTCTTTCATGGTCGAAATAAGCATACTGCATTACATTTCCATTATGTCCGTGAGAAGATTGCTCTGGGATCATTAGTCACTCAATTTGTTCTCTCGGGTTCACTCGGTTTGTTCTCTCAGGTTCATCAGCTAGCTGACATCCTTACTAAGCCCCCTTCAAGGACATTATTTTATTATCTATGCATCAAATTGCGTCTGTGTCCTCAACCCAATTTGAGGAGGAGTGACTACGTAGATAATCCTGATGATATTAGGACAAACTAAAGTAAGTTGTTTTACAAGAATTATCTACATTATCGCCCCCTCAAATTGTTTAAATTGTTTTACAAGTGATATTTTATCTTTATTATGTAATTTTCACTCTAGAAATAAGATTGAATCTCATGTGATCAAGTATTACTGAATAAACATCGATGTAGCCCTTGGGACATTTAATCCGTGGACATAAACATTGCGTAATTGTGTTAAACCATATATATCTCGGTATTCTTATTTTCATATCCTAATTTAACCATATAAATAGTAATAAATCTCTTAGATATATCTTATCATCATATTCTAATATGTTTTACTTGCAAAACCATATTAGATTCATTGACATCACCAATGTTGCTTCTATTGACCTTTTTTGGTCTTTGATGAATAACGTTTGGCATGTGATCCAAGTTCTTGTGGAAATGGAAACCCCACAAATCACCACAACCAACTTCCGCATAGAGACCATCACCAGCCACCAGCCACCAACCACAATTTCAATCCCCACTATTGATTTGACAAAATATTGAATAGCAGAATACGCTATTATAAAAATGGAAGGAAAGAGGCTTGACAATTTTTAACACAGTTCGTCGAAGTTACCTATTATGGTTTAGCCTTAAATAACATTATTGGTGGACTGGCCAGACCTCTCTCTCTCTCTCTCTCTCTCTCTCTCTCTCTCTCTCTCTCTCTCTCTCTCTTCCTTCTTAAATAATCAAAATCTGCCACAAGTAACAATGGTTTTAGGCTATAAATGGAAGTGATGGTTTCTCGTACCTGCAGTATTAACTTTGATACACAAGAACATTCTGATAACACAAGATGCATTAAAGTTTAGATACTATTGCAAGATGTAGAAGTTACAGATTTTTATTCATCGATATGATACATGTATTATCTACAAGCAAAATGCGGGACCCTAACGTTTTTTCGAAAGAGAACATAGGCTTGAATCAGTGTAACTATTACATAAAGTACAAGAAGAAATTCGGGTGACCAACTGTAATGCGATTACATCTTACTTGAACAAGAAATATGCAGAGAAAATAATAAGGTAGGCACTGTGCTTTAAGATCCAGTAGAATAGTCAGCCATAAAACTAAGTTCAAGATACCATTGGCAACAGTGTATACATAACCTTGCTATTCACCTTGCTCAGATTGAGGTGCCATTAATCCATAGCTGGGTGACTACAGAGGAAGTACTCTTCCATGTAAGTGTCTGTGATTCACATTTTGCTTCAATTTGATCCATATAAGCATCTGTAGTTATGTCGAACATGTCGATGAAGGTACTATATAATTGACAACAGAAAGCTGTAGTATTCAATTTGCATGACAATGGACATTGCTCTGAATCCATTATTGAAGTTCTGGAGTTTTGGTTCCCAAGACCATGAGAGGTGTACTTCCAGCACTGTGAAAACTAGTGTTTCAAAGCCTGAACAAAAATGCAACAATGATGAAAGGATGCCCACTCTATTCGAAGTGATGTTAATACAAATTCAAATCTCAGTCGAGATCATGAGCAAGTGAAATAAAACTTGAAAAATCATTAAATTATTAAAAGAACCAAAATACTTACCCCGAAAAAAAAAACAGAATAAATGGGCATGAATGAAAAGAGAGATTCAAGTGAGATATGAAGCCGTGTAAAATAGTATATACGATATGCCCTAGTTTATTATAAAAGCTAATAAGGTTCAATNTATATAAATTTACATAATTGAAAAATTAGATTTAATAATGAGTAGATTATTCAGATCTAACTCTATGACTAGTTTATCTAGTTCTTCATTTAGTACTATACCTAATATAGTAAATGAGGACGAAGAAGAACACCATAAGTCACAAGTTGACTAGAGTGGATGGAATATCTCAAAGGTATCNAGTTTCCGAACCATGATTCGGTGAACTCACATTTCTTCATCTAGTAGTATTAATCTATCTGCAGAGAGAACTCTTACCGACTATAAATAGGAATCCATCCATCTGTCTCTCATTCTCACTCCCTGTTCCATGATAGCCTTTGACACTAAAGAACCTCTCAAATGAGATATTGCTGACCTGACGATAGGAAAACATGACCTGACGCTGCCATCTAAACAATATTCCGCTTAAATTATTAGACACTTGGAAGAAACCCAACTGCACATTCATGGTGCAAGTGAGCTAATTTTCGGTAATATAAGCTTGTGTCGATTATTTTAAATTTAATTATTATAATAATTCTTAAATTTTAGATCAATTTTTTTGTCAGTCATCTAATGATTATTTCTCAAAATTTGAAATCGGACGGATTTTAAAATATAACAATAAAAAAGGAAATTTTTAAACCAAACATTAACCTTAAATTTACACCAAATCGATCAAGTGGATTACATATACAATTAGATTGTGTGACAATTAGATGGAATTAGACCCTGATTACAATATGATTTATTAAAAGTCAATGAGTGTGGATCAAAAAATAAGATTCAAGTTAGATCAACTACATTTTGATTTAAATCTAATCTATTAACAAAATTTTATACATTATTTACAATTAAAAATTTGAAAAAACATAAAAAAAAAATTATATTTATCTTTTAACATGCTATAATCCCAATATGAAAAATTCTAATTTTTTTTTTATTTCTTTGGGATGTTGGCCCCAAATATTTAGACCTAATTCTGACCATTAAATTAGTAACAAATCCTACTATTCAATAAAGTTTACTATCAAATTAAAACAATAAATTAGTTCTAAATTATTATGAAACTACTAAATTGACTAAATGTAAAATAAATAATACAAAATTTGAAATAGAGAAAATTTTAAAAAATATTATTACTCTTTTTTCCTATTTTTTTACACTTCGCATTCGTCCTGAAAGCCAAGGTTCCTCATATAGACAAAAATGGGCGGAGTTGAATAACTTTTTAACTATCCTATTAAATAAGGTTGATATTCAGTATTATTCATACACATTAATACATATTATTTATTAATGATTGGTATTATGCATGATTATTCAGCACCCCCTATTTATATATAATTGACATTATTCATGCCTAATAATCATCTACTGCATTTATTTTATTTTTTAAAAGTTTAGTGTATTCGAACTAATTTACACATAACTTAATTAATTATTTTGTTTTTTCTTTCGGAAGGTAAAGTGTATTAAAAAAACAAAAAACAGAAATACAAAGGGTAATCACCCACATATTGTACAATGACGTCACATAGGGCACAAAGACAAACATCAAAAAACCAAAAACGTTAAGACATAAATCACAATTCTGTAAGAGATACCCTGGTTAAGAGTATCTCCCACAGAATTGTTAACA